TGGAATCAGTGTCAGCATGGCCCCTCACAATAGAAGGGTTTCCCAGGTCAGGAACGCACATAACGTTGTGGGTTTTTTGTTCTGTCAATATTTCAAACGTTTGACTCAGAGTCTATTCGGGTCATAAGGCCGTTTGCCTGCTTGGCTCTAGATGCACTGTTGGGTGCTCTAAGCATGGAGGAGATTGTGGGAGGGAGAGTGGGAGCCTCCCAAGCAGGCGCCAGTCATTTGGGAGCCTGCGTCACTGCGTGTTCATGTTGGGGCCATCCTGTGATGAAGCCATGCCATACACATGTGGCGTTGGGTGGCTGCATGCTGTGGGCAGCCTCTGTCCTGTGTGCCGTCGGGGTATTACCTGGCCCTAGGTGCTCGTATGCTGCTTTAATGTCAAGCCGTTGACTGAGCCCTGTCCTGTGTCCAGCTGTGCTCTAAGAGCTGCTGGGGTGGAGAAAAGTGAGACCAGCTCACTCCCTAAGGACTGTCTTTGTCATGTGGGAACACGATCAGAGCAGCAGATGCTGGCGAGCCCATGGGATCTGTTAGGGCCGGAAAACAGCACTTCACAGAGATGGCAGGAGCTTCGGCCCTATGGTCCAGTGTCCCTTGAGCTGCTTTTACCAAGTCCAGGCTACTGCACACACACCAGCCCAAGCAGGCGTGCGGCCTCCTGCATTCAAACCTAGATCTGCTGGGAGCTGAACAGAGACGGGAGGCCGTGCCCCAGCCGCCGTCTTCATCCCCTTCCTGTGGAGAGCAGCACATGGCATAGATGAGTGGTCATCAGTGACTGTCCTTCAGAGGCATCCTGAGGCCATCTGCGTCATGGATGGGGGTGGCCACCTACTGAGAACGGTGGGCCCCTAAGACTTCCCTTCAGCTCAGTTCCAGGAGTCTTCCACTTACAGTCCCTGAACTACGTCTGCTAGAGCAGACGTTTTGTTCCGTTAGCCCATTGCAGAGGAAGAATGGAATATAAAAGCAGCGAAGTGGGATGGGGACTTGTCACTTCCCCCCCACCAGCCTGCCTGCCTTAAAGTACGGGCATCCCACTTCCCTCCTTAGCCTGCAGCTCTCTGAGAGCACCTGAGTTTGCAGCTTGTGGGGCTGCAACTTGCTTTGCTCAACCAAATGTGTGTGCTTAGAAGAAGCAAGGCCATTCTCTGCTGTACCTACTACTGCCAGGCACTTTGGTGGCTGTTTTCCCATGTGACCCTGACCCCAATTCCTTTAGAGAATGTAAACCCCATATTCCCAGTGCCTAGAACAGTGTCTGGCATGCAGAAGGCATTCAGCAAATACTTGTTGAATGAACGAGTGACATTCAGTGTTGTTATCCCTGTTTAGTCATAGATGGGGAAACTGAGGCTCAGAGGTACGATGTTTCTTTCTCAAGAGGCAGTGCTGATATTTCCATCTAGGTTGGTCTGACTGCAAAGCCAGAGCTGCTTCCAGATGGGAAGGGGGATTTTCTGTCATCCTCCTTGGCTGCTGACTCCTCCTCAAAGCCATCAGGACGTTGGAGGCTGGCTGGGACTTGGAGCTGGCCACTGTGTATGCACATGTCCCTGGGGTGCAGGGGTGGAAGAGGGTGTGCTGAGTACAGGAGACTGAGCAGCTGGGGCCTGGTGCCTGATGCTGTTAACTCGGCTGGGAAAGATGGTCTCAGAGAAGCAAAGCCAGCCAGGAGCACAGACTCTGCTCTTCTGCATGACTTGAGCAAAGCACTCTACTCTCAGAGCCTTCACAGGTGCTCACCAAGAATGGGGGAGATGATGGCTGCTCCTATCCCTGTTTCATCTGGAAGCTGTGAAGACACAGCAGTAAGTGTGCCTAAGTGAAATACTCAGGCAAAGTGGTAGCGGCCCAGTGCACTGTGCCTTGACAGAGGGAGAGTCTAAGCATGAACGGTGAAAACAGTGTTGTCCAGATTATCTTTGAAAATGTCTTAGGAAGCACCATATGTGACTGTGTCTGTCTGCCTCCTTTATGCCCAGATTTCTGGCCACTGTTGGAACCAGCAGCCGTTTCTTAGAGCATAATTCTTAGAGATAATTCAGACCTCACTAGCCGGGCATGGTGGCACGCACCTGTAATCCCAGCGACTCGGGAATCTGAGGCAGGAGTTTGTGGCTGCAGTGAGCTTTGATCATGCCGCTGCATTCCAGCATGGGTGGTAGGGTGAGAGTCTGTCTATTAAGTAAAATTATAAAATTTAAACTTCGGATATTAAGAGTCCACACCTCCTACCCATGTTGTATAAAAAACGTGTATCATGAAACACCAGCGTCACCCTCAGCATGGCGTGGTGCTTGCAGCGAGAAACCCAGACAGAAGGCGAATACGCAGCTTTATCACACACCCGCTCAGGGGGTCAGTATGCACAAGCAGACGCGCGCTTGCTGCCTGGGAGAGGGGGCGGAATCTCCCAAGCTTCATTCTGTGTTTCTTTCTCTCTCAGTGTGTTGAATTTTTGCTAAAAGTTAAAAGCCCACTTGATGTGAATCTTCTAAATGCCGGATCAACACATTTGTCATGGATATGAGTTCTTCAGTATTTTTTGGCACTTTCTTCAGTATTAAACAGATAATCCATTCAATAAACATTTTTCCAAATGCTCACTTTGCACCCCTTACTGCTGCCTTGAGAAAACTGGATGAGTTGAAAGAGCCGGTGGGCCTCTATCGGGAGGGTCTGAGGTTGATAGAGGCCCGAACCAGGGAAAATGTGGCCATCTATACCTAGGTGGTGATGCAGACGCTCTCTTTTCAGACATGACCATAGTTGGTCACTTGATCGATTAACCAAAAAACTGTTTCAAGTGGAGAAATATCAAGACATTATACTTAGGTGCCTTAGACATTTTCTTATAACTTAGACTATGAAAACATTATTATTATTATTTTGGCCAATTTTGTAATGGAGAAGGAAAACCTCTTCTTTGGGGATGGATGTCTGCCAATTGGACTTCCATGTCACCTTCTGATAGGGTTTGGCTGTGTCTCCACCCGAATCTCATCTTGAATTGTAACCTCCAAATTCCGATGTGTTGAGGGAGGGACCTGGCGGGAGGTGATCGGATGTGGTTTCCCCCACACTGTTCTTGTGAAGGTGAGGAGGTGTCACAAGCTCTGAGGGGTTTAGAAGCATCTGGCGTCTTCCCTGCTTGCACTTCTCTCTCCTGCTGCCATGTGAAGAAGGCCCTTGCTTCCCCTTTACCCTCTGCCGTGATTATAAGTTTCCTGAGGCCTCCCCACCAGAGCTGTGAGTCAGTTAAACCTCTTTTCTTTATAAATTGCCCAGTTTCAGGTAGTATCTTTATAGCAGTGTGAAAATGGACTAGTATACCTTCCTCACACAAAGCATGCCTATAATGAGAGTCTGAATCCAGTTTCGTTTCATACACGCACGTGTGTGTGTGTGCGTGTGTATACACATAGAAAGGATTATAAAAGACTCTTGTGAAGCAGCCTGGGAGGAGAATTGTACGATTTATTCCTCAGCATTTACAGCTGTTTTGCCCACACCCAATTGGACAGCAGTCTATCTTAGCTCCTGGCTAAATCTGTTTTCATGAGAACAACTTGGCCTTTGTCCTCATATTTCATTGGTTAACTCAATGTGTAACCACATGTATGAATTGAAATAACAAGTATCACTGGCATCAGTAGGTTTAAGAATAAATACAAATGAAAGTTGGTAAGCCTGCCACCCCTCTACTGATGGGGGCAGTCACGTGTGGGTGATCAGAGAAGGCTCCCCTGGCCCAAAGTTTAGAACACATGGGCGCCAGGCAGCGTATCCTCCAAAGGACATGGGTGACTTCAGCTGATCCAACTCCACATGGGAGCTAGCCAGGGGAGGATCTCTGTAGGCAGCAGGGCATGGGGGTGGCCTGCAGGCATGCAGAGGATAAGACAGGGTGAGCTTCTCTTGGGGAGACACCACCATGAGGCACCAGGAAGGGGAGCTGATGGAAGACGGTCAGACATCTGTGAGCAAACTAGGAAAGCGTGGCTCTAGAGCAGAATTTAGAAGCCTCTTTAATTATCTCTGTGTTCATCTCTTCTCCTGAGCTGCCGGTGATCTGAGATCTTCTCCTTGTGGTCCATTACCTGTTGCTTGGAAAGCATCTAATATTTTTGAATGAATGAAAGTGCATTTTTTTTTGTTGTTCCACTGAAATTGTTGAAAGATGGTCATCCTTCTACACATTAGATCATAAGGAACTCTGGGCCAGCACACTGTGGGCCCCTGGATATTGTGTGCTCCGTGTCTTGGCTTACCTCAGTGAGGGCATGTGTATACGCTAAGATCACTGCCCAGACTGTGGACCCCTGGATATTGTGTCTTGGCTTACCCCAGTGAGGGCATGTGTATACGCCAAGATCACTGTTCAGCTCACAGTGTATGATCAGCCCTCCAGGCCTGGACAGGCATCCTGGTATCTCTCAGGTATAGCTGAGTAGGGAAGGTGACCGGTATGATCTTGTTAGACTCAGGTATAGTGATATGAAAGACAGAAAAGCCATACTTTATAATGAGTTTGAAGCCTTCAGTTCAGGATGTTCTCTTAGTCAGTATATAGGATGGTTCCCAGTGATTCCCCTTAGCATAGTGATTTTATCTCTAAGGAACAGAAATACCAAAGCCGTGACTATTGGAATATTTAATGCAAGAAAACGAGTCTAACCATCAGAAGCTTAGAGGTTAAGAACTATCATGTCACAGTTTATTACCGGAGTTAACATACTTTGTTGATTTATTGTTATTTAGCGAGTGCTATTAGTGTCTGTCATTTGCTGAATTTCTCTTCATAAATAAGCAAATCCTCACCCTGTATTTCTCCAAAAACGCAAGACTATGGGTCTGCCCTGTGAGAATCACTCAGCTTATGTCAGTTTCCGTATTTAAGACTTGATTTACGTTAGCATGGTCCGCTAGCACCTGCTCCTGGAAACGAGAAGCCTGTAGCTTAAGCGTTCCTCTCCCTCCTTGGACAGCTTGGGCATGAACCACGATGATGACCACTCATCCTGCACTGGCAAGCCCCACATCATGTCGGGAGAGTGGGTGAAAGGCCGGAACCCCAGTGACCTCTCCTGGTCCTCCTGCAGCCGAGACGACCTTGAACACTTTCTCAAGTAAGTCCCAGAATTATTCTTTAGGATTAGTGTGTAGAAAGTACGTCTAAAAGACAAACGTATCGAAGTCTCAGCAAGTGTGAAGTAGGAGACGTGACTTTCATTTGGGATTCGCATCTGGCCTCAAGAGGCGGTCAGTGCGGAGCGTCCTGTGATGGCGAGAATACCTCCCACGTGCACGTCTGCTCCAGGGTTGGGTGCGCAGTCGGTGATCATTACGTAATTATTGATCGATTGAAATATCAACATAGTCACTGTCTTAAGAAGCCCGTGTCATTCTTCTGCACTGTTGTGACTGTGGTCACCAGGGCGCCCCTGGGCTGCTGCAGAATGGAGTGTTTCCTGGGGTGGAAGTGGAGGCCGCTTCCCTCAAGAGGAAGTGAATTTGCTGGGGGTTGGGGGTGGATTTGCTCCCCTTCCTCACTTCAGGGGAGGGGAAGGGAGGGCTGTGTTGATCTCACTGCTGCTTTCTTCCCCAGAATATTTTGGCATCCTTCCATTCTCAGATTTCTGTGGAAGGATCGGCCATCTGGTTTGAGACCTTTGTCAAACAGTCTGTACCCGTGGACAGTGCAGGTTCCTTAGTGTCAGGATCTCAGGGTTGGTTCACAGAGTGACTCTGCAGACCCGGGCCACTACAGTACTTAGCCATGTTAATGCATTCGCCCTGGGAGACAGCAGTGAGTCGGCGAGTCTCACCCGCCGATGAAGCTTCTCAGTCCAGTAACACAGTCAAGTTCCCGGTGAATTTGGGATGTAGTGGCAAAGGTGCCATCCCAGGCCTTTTTTCACGACGTTCCCTGTTGATGGGAAATTGTTCAGAGGTAAACCAGCTTAAAATGCACTCGTTACTTTAAATACAGTCTATATCCTACTGTGTTTGTTACCACAGATCTTAAGAAGTGTTGTCAGTGCGTTGATGTTATTTCGCTTTATCGAGAAAGGATCACAGCGACGAGATGGGTGCTTTGGATGGTTTTGTTTTGTTTTGTTGAGATGCAGTCTCACTCTGTCTCCCAGGCTGGAGTGCAGTGGCGTGATCTCAGCTCACTACAACCTCTGCCTCCTGGGTTCAAGCAGTTCTCCTGCCTCGGCCTCCCCAGTACTTGGGATTATAGGTGCACGTCACCACATCCAACTAATTTTTGTACTTTTAGTAGAGACAGGGTTTCATCATGTTGCCCAGGCTGGTTTCAAACTCCTGACCTCAGGTGATTTGTCCACCTCAGCCTCCCAAAGTGCTGAGATGATAGGCATGAGCCACCATGCCTGGCCAAGACGAGGCATTTTTATTTGCTCGTGTACACAGTACTGGTCCCACTAGTGACAAGTGGTGTATGTCTGAGTCCAGGAGAAGTAAACCAGGATCAGTCTGTGTGTCTTGTGTTCATCCAACTTTCCTTAAGAATCTTGCCAAGTGACTGGGTTTCCTGCCTGAAACCATCTGTCTTGTTTTAGAAATTGAGAAATAAAAGCATTGAAGTAAGTAACCTCCCATAGAACCAGAGCCTCACAATCTCCAGTTCACTTATTTATTCATTTATTTATTTATGAGTCAGAGTCTCACTCTGTCACCCAGGCTGTAGTGCAGTGGTGCAATCTCAGCTCACTGCAACCTCAGCCTCCCAAGTTTAAGCAATTCTGCTTCAGGCTTCCAAGTAGCTGGGACTACAGGCGTTTACCACCATGCCCAGCTAATTTTTGTATTTTTAATAAGAGACGGGATTTCACCATGTTGGCCAGCCTGGTCTCGAACTCCTGACCTTAAGTGATCCACCTACCTTGGCCTCCCAAAGTGCTAAGATTACTGGCTTAATCTCAGTAATTCCAGTGGCTGGCTTAAAGCCATGGAACCCGGCCCCAGTTCCCACTTTTAGAGATGCACCTGCCATTGTAAATGGATGCTCCCACCCCGGTTGAAATCCTGTCCTTGGCAGGTGTTGTTGGTGGCTTTCAGGGACGGCGTGGTCAGGTGAGACACCGAGGCCCCACAAGCGCTCGAAGGGAACCTGCAGAGTTGGAAATAAGCCTTTCGATCTCATTGAAAGTGAAACAAGTCTGACTTGGACTTGTTCCTTATTCATGATCGTGTTTGCTCAAAGCCATAGTCTAAGAAAGTACGATGATTTATCCCAAAATCATTTTCATTCAGAAAGCTTTCAGCCTCCTCAGTCAAAGTCCACCAGCCTCGTGGGTATCATTCCTGGGTCCCTCCCGAGTCTCCAGGTTCTTACTGCCTTCAGAGGAAAGATTCACATTTGGCCATGTGGAAAAAGAGGAATGCATAGGAAAAATCAGTCCGTGTGGCCAGTGCCTGCATCGTTTTTCCATAAAGAATGTGGAGGTGCCTCCTCCTCGGTGACTGAAAACTCATAAACCTCAGCAGCACATTTGCAAGTCAACTTGCCTCTCGGCTGTTTCAGGTCACAAGGTAGCACCTGCTTGCTGGTCACCGACGCCAGAAGCCAGCACAGGGTCCGCCTCCCACACAAGCTGCCGGGCATGCACTACAGTGCCGACGAGCAGTGCCAGATCCTGTTCGGCACCAACGCCACCTTCTGCAGAAACAAGGAGGTAAGCAGCCACGGGAGGGCCAGCTCGGGACAGAGCATGGGTCCAGCCCTCCCGCAGCAGGTCTGGCTTCTGCTGGAGGACGTGGGCATTCACACTCAGCACATGCACCCACACGTGCAAGTGCACACGGTATATGCACACAGACATTCACATACAGAGACAGGCATAATCGCATCCTCACAGGCACCTGCACATGCGCACCCCACGTGGCCGTGCACACATACACACCTACACACACAATTGCAGACACACCATCTCCACACAGTCCCCGACATGGGCACTTTTGCAGGGGAATGCTTCAGGGTTACTACTGACTCCAGGAGCCTGACATTTTAGTATGGAAACCTTGGGACACTAGAGATGTAGAACACTGTCGCCTGACTTCAAACCCTGCGTGGATAAAGAGAGTTAAAACTATTAAACATTTGAGAGTATCAAATTGGGAAATTTTAACAAGTAATAAATTGGCAGAGCATGGTGTCTCACACCTGTAATCCCAGTACTTTGGGAGGCAGGTGGATCATGAGGTCAGGAGTTCAAGACCAGCCTGTCCAAGATGGTGAAACCCCGTCTCTCCTAAAAATACAAAAATTAGCCGTGTTTGGTGGCAGGCACCTGTAATCCCAGCTGCTCGGGAGGCTGAGGCAGAGAATTGCTTGAACCTGGGGGGCAGAGGTGGCAGTGAGCTGAGATTGCACCACTGCACTCTAGCCTGGGTGACAGAGTGAGACTCCATCTCAAAAAACAAACAAAAAAAGTAATAAATTTATTATATGATAATAACCCCATTAAACAGTTACTGCTTTTTGAGCAGTGCCTACATGTTTGGTGCTGACGCTTCCAACACGCGTGATCCCATTTAGACTTCGCCATAACTCCTGAGATTCCACCCCTGGCTCCCGGATGACACCACCACGTCAAGTAAGCGAACATTCAGAATGGCTCGGTTAGTAGGTGGCAGAGCAAGGGCTGGAACTCAAGCCCCTTTCTCCCCCAAGTGCACACTTTTTCACCATGATGAAAACAGCAAGGTCCAGAGCTTGGCTGGTTTTATGGGTGGGGTTGCCAAGAAGGGCATGTGGGTACCTGGCGCAGGGCAGTCTCCATGCCTATGGCCATCTGTGCAGCAGACAGGGAAGGCCCTGACCACAGGGAGAGACCAGGAGCCTTTGGTCCAGCTGGCCCTGGCAGTGACTGGGCTAGGGGAGCAGAGCCTGCACCATCCTGCGGAGAAGGACAGAAGTAGAGGAACGAGGTCAGGGTACACGCACCTCAGCAGCCAGGGGGTGGAGGGCTGTCCCAGCACTGCACTCAGAATTGCACCTGGTCCCAAGGAGGATGTGTGGTCAGCTGGGCAGCGTCCTGAAGCAAGCACTCAGAGCAGCACCGAGGCACGCAGGTACACACAGGGCTGCCTCCAGAATGCGGTCCCAGTGCCCATTAGCCCAGATTTCTGGAGACAGACACTGCCTCTTGAGTGCTTCCTGTCTACATGAGTGTTAATTTAGGAAACTGGGATACAACCTGCAGGTTGGGCATCGCCGGCCATTTTGGGGGTACATAAAAGGGCAGCTCCTCAAAGCCAGGCAGTTGCCTCCTCCTGGCTGTTTCCCCAAAGGACGTTTACCCACACTGTAGTGCTGATTCTCCCCTGCCATTCCCCTGGGGAGCGTGCCTACGAGGGTCTTCTCCAGATACCAATGGGAAGCTGTCACCCATGTCAGTGTCCCACTGGCTGCCTGTACCTCCTGCCCCTAGCAGCAGGGTTGAAGGACACCTGCATGGGGAGGGATAATGAGCCCTAGAATGGGATCGCCCCCAGCATCCTGCAGCGGTGCCCAGACTCCATCAGCCACTGTGTGGCTTGACTGCTAAGGCTCTCGTGCACATATACAGTGCCTACCAAGAGGCTTCCTATCTGCCTGTCCCCCTCTTCAGTTCCCTACAGTGCATGGATGGTACAGAGATGGCAGGGAAGAGCAGGCTTCAGGGCATCCCTTGATGGTGTGGAGACCACATGAGGTCGTGTGGATGGGATAACCAGGGAGGACTTAAGGCAGAGAAAAGGGCCCCAGACACCAGGGGTGGGGAAGTGGATGGTGCCCAGCTGAGCCAAGGGGCAGCGTGATCCCTCTGCGCACTGTGGAGTCCTCCCCAGGGCCGGTGAGATGTGGCAGGCCAGGCTGAGCGGGTCCTACAGGGCAGGATTAAGTGGGGCAGGGGCTGGGCAGAGACTGCCTGCTCCGTGAGAACTGGAGCTCTTTTCCCTTCTAGGAGCCAAGCCCTTGCATCCCAGTTGGACTAGGAGGGACCAAGGGAGGGAGACACGTGTACTGGGGGCCCACAGTCTCCCAGGCTGGGCTTTGTCCTGGCACTGTCACACACAACCCTGACTGCAACCCCAAAGGCAAGGGTTTTTAACCCCACTTCAACAGATGAGAATGTGGAAGGTGAGAGATGAGGAAACAAGCCAGGCTCACCCAGTTGGAAAGCGGGGGCCTAGAAAGCAAGCCAAGGTGGAGGAAAGGAAAGCTCCCATCATTCAGAGACCCCCAAAGAGGAGGTAGGGGATGTGGTATTTTACTTTCCTTCAGAATCATCTTTTTATTAGAAGAATTCAATTAGGAGGCAGCAAGCATTGATTAGCTCAGCTGTGGGGCTCCTTTCTCCCTAGAAGCTCAAAGTCCAAATGCATATTTAGTGAGATCTTCCTATGTGCGTGTCCTGGGCTCCGTAGCAACTGCAAACTATGTTTTCCTACTTCCTTTTGCCTTGAGGGTTTCCCAACAATAAAATAAATGTGTGTTTTCCTCTCCAGTAACTAGCAGACATGATTTCTTAGGGGAATGATGGAATGACCATCCCCTTGATGGCCACCAGTCTCAGCTGGTCGGTGGTGACTGTAGAGGAATCTGACCGTGGGGTCGCAGTGACCATGCACACTGGAGAAAATGTCACACTCATACTCTTTTGCACTACTGGGGAGGAAAATGCAGAAGACCGGACGCTTCCCTGTAAACCCTTTGAGAACCGAGGACTTGGGGCCTGCTCCCCTAGGCCTGGAGCATATGTCAGTTAAGTCCAGGTGAAGACAGTGCCATTCTCCAGGGCTCCAGGGCCTGCTGTGGCAACAGTCTGTGCTATCCCTGCTTTTGCAGGACTGGTTGTGGTTGATGATGGGCATGGCAGGAGAGCGTAGGCGTGCTCTCGTCCCTTCATTCTTCCCTGCAATGCGCCTTGCTGGTGTGGGTATGTGCCCCTCCCTTCTTCCTTCTGGGCCTCTTCCTGACCTGCACTTACTCTGTTCCAGCTGTACTGGTTTTTCTGTTCTTCTTGGACCCACCAGAGAGCCACTTGCTTCATCCTGGCTGTTTCCCCCGCCCAGCCAGTCTTCTCCCAGTTACCCGCATGACTAATTCCCCCATCTCTTTTGAATTCTGTTCATTTTTTTAATGTAAGCTTCTCAGTGAGGCTACCCTGCCTACCCTTCTTTAAGATGACAGTCCGGTACCTTCCTCTGCACACTGTGAAGTATCCGCCTCTCCTGATTAAGGGAAAGCCCAGCTTTCAGACACTTGCCATCTTTTAACACGCTCTGTAGCTCACAGGCTGATGACCGCTATTCCTGCGCCTCCCTCTTTAGATGATAAACCCTTCCAGAGCAGCAGTCTTTGCTTCTGCTCACCAGTGTTTCTGAACTGCCTCGGGCAGTACCGGGCATATGGTAGGTGCTCAGTATGTGTTGTGCTGAGATCCAGTCCAGCCATGACCGTAACAGCAGATTTGTTAAGCCTTCCTTATGTGGCTTTGCTCAGTTGTTAATGAACCTGTGGAAAAGCTTAGATTTGAGGAAGAAGCCCTTAGAGACCTGCCTGTGCGATGTATTACTCTATAAGTCTGATTTCACCTTTCTCAGTCTGGCCATCTGGTTCACCAAGATAACACGTAAGACCTTGTCAGTTGTCTTTCAGGGGTTCATATAAACCATTTCCATGGCTTCTTCCCAGAACAAGAAGCCATTTAAGGCACTGCAAAGAGTCTGGCAGTGAGTGACTTGCCAGCTGGTTCCTAGAGATCGTCTGTATGCCTTAGAGTCGTCATGAGTAAAACTCAGGCTTCTGGTCAGTTGACACATGACAAGTGTGGGGAACTGGGTCTGTCCTAAGGTTGGTGCCCAATAGGGGGAGCTGGTATCTGTTACTACCTTTCTGGTTAACACTGATTGCCACCTGTGGTGGGGAACAGAGCTAATGTATCTGTGCATCTCCAGGATCAGCGTTTCTCTGTTGAACTCCTGGGAGCTGTGGGAAATTAAGCATCATCTAGACCTGTACTGTTCATTCAGCGAGAGACAGCAGAGCCAGTAAGAAAGGCCTTTTAATTGAGTGCCGTATAATTGACTTTTAGAGTCATGCCCTGCAGACTGAAATGGGTATCATGTAATGAAATGATCACCATCCCCAAGTTGCTTTTAAATTTCTAACCCCAACTTTTGCTTTTAGCAAAGAGGGAATAACAAGGGCCTCATTTATTTTACCTCAGAAACAACTGAAAACAAAACAAAAAACAGATAAAATCTATGAAACAGTGTTTTCCAAGACACTGGACATCAAGCAGCAAAGTCTTGTGATCCTTGAGAGATGTGAAATAAGCAAGGTGAGCCCTGTGATTGTCCTGGCCTGTGGCCTGGACCATCTCCAGTCAGCTCTGAGTCCTCCTGAGTTGAGGAAGCATAGCTGGTTGTACGGGGAAGCCAAGGCAGCTAGAGTTCACAAGGCACAGGACCACAGAACAAAGAGCTAGCTGTGGAGAGAACTGGGAAATCTGCAGAATCCCCTATTTCAGCTTAGTGGTTAGCACAGGTGTGTGAAAAACTACCTGAGGCCAGGAAAAGAACCATCTAAAAGAGTGAGAGGGAAGAATCTCTGGAGCTCACAGTCATCAAGTAGGGCACAGGAGGCTTTTCCTTCAGTAGCACAGGAAAATTAGCCCTACACTAA